CTCGTCCAGCTCGGCCCCTGCTTTAGCTTGAGCACCCTCTTACCCTCGGTTCCAGCCATCTGGGCCACGCCCCACAGTTCCAGGGGTGGACACCTCCCTTCCGTGGCCTCGGCCAGGCCGGTCAGGGTGCAGCCTCGCCAGGCCTCCGAGCTGTGGGCTAAGACCATGGCCATTCGCTGCTGAGCGTGGTCCTGAGTCAGCCGTCCAGGCTTTCAGTCAGGAGAGTGAACACAGATTAAGGTATTTGGGGTTGGAGTCTTCTGTCCTTGTCTGTATGGAGGGGTCCTAAACAGATCCCCATGACCATTTCTAATCACTGTCCACAAATCGTGTTCCTGGGCCCCGCACTCCCCAAATGACAAGTCCACCAGGAAATATCTGAGAAAGGCTCGGGAAGCGTGCCCACGTAGTGCACCAGAGGAACACTGTGTCGGCCCTAGTGACGGGAGGAGGCTGAGCCCCACATGTCAACTGACTTCAGGCTTTCTCCACTTTAATGGCTAATCGAGCCCGTTGTGTGGGTCATCTGATTACCTAGAAATGGCTGTGACCAAATTAACTTTACTGAATGTAGTTCCCTATTGAGTGTCCACGGCCTCTTTCCTGACCAACCTGCATTTCCACGAGCTGCTCAGAGTCAATCCACCAGAGGCGGGTCTCTTCCCTATAAACCCACAGGCGAAATTCTGTCCCAAAATACAGCGTGGGAGTGGAATAAGAAACACTTGTCTAGAAGCCACATCTCTGACCAAGTCCAAGGAACTTGGCGCGCTCTCCCCTGAGAGAAGCTGTCTTCGAGCAACTTCCCTGGCTATTGTGGTCTCTGTCCCGAATGCCTGAAATTCATACATTTAGCTCAAAGAGTTTGAATGACGCTTGCCCACTCCTGTGTGCCCAGACGCTGACTTGTTAGAGGCAAAAGCTGTCTGTACTGTGTGCTTACGAAATGCAGGCTCTTTGTGCATTTAGGCCTCTCTTCCCAGTATTACCTTCTGAACCAGCGACTATTACATCCCTAGTCCAGGGAGGAGATGAGGCACAGAGGGATTGAGTATCCTGCCCAGAGTCACTCAGCTGGGAGGGAGGTGCTGGGACACCAGCCTGGCAAGGAGACTCAGGGTCCACACCCTTACCCATGATACCACCCGGCCCCCTGTGGTGGTCATGGTGCTGGACCTGGCTCCAGACTGGGCCCACCCTCCACCACCCCACCCACGATCCAGGGAAATTGGTTTAGTTTCTCCAAGCCAGGGCCCTCAGCCCTGGTGTGAGGTTCAAATGCAAAGATACACACAGTCTTCGTAAAGGGTGAAAAGTCAGAGGGAGGCCCAGCGGCGTTACTGCTGCAAGAAGTGCTACGTTTGTTTCTGTCTCAGGAGTGGCACCAGCCCTCCGTCCTGAGGTGGGGAGAGGACTGTGAGCCGCACAGGACCGGGGGGCCAGTTATCACACGTATTTGTTTTATTGAGAGGAAGGCATATGCTTGGTTACCAGGACATAACTGAATGCCTGTCTTCCCAGACCAGCAGGACACAACGTGACTGACTCTGGTGCTCCCCATCTGCCCCCTCTGACGGGGAGGGGGAGCTCCCCAGAGGAGCAGAATTTCTGGCTGTGACCTGTGCAGGCCCTTTGCTGTTGGTCAATATTTACACTCTCACCATGGAACATTATCCAGGGTAGACCGTATGCTAGGCGTGTTAGTCTGCTAGGGCTGCAGTCACAAAGTACCGCAGACGGGGTCTTAAACAACAGAAATTTATTCTCTCACAGCTGTGGGGGCCAGAAGTCCGAGATGAAGGTGTGGGCAGGGCCACGTCCCTCTGAAGGCGCTGGGGAAGGATCTGTTTCCGGCCTCTCTCCTGCCTTCTGGTGGTTCCGTGGCTTGTGGTAGCATCACTCCAGTCTTCAGGTGTTCTCCCTACGTGTGTCCAAATGTCCCCTTTGCAGAAGGACACCAGTCATATTGGATTAGGACCCACCCTACTCCAGTATAGGCTCATCTTAACTATTTACGTCTGTAATGACCTTGTTTCCAAGTAAGGTCACATTCTGAGGTACTACGGGTTAGGGCTTCAGCATATGAATTTTGGGGGGACACAATTCAACCAATGACACCCACCGAGAACATGGCGTACGCGCACTTCCCTGTCTCTCAGATAACTTCCCCGTTATCCTTGGCTGCAAACTGCCCATCTGAGGCCTTCTCCTTGCAACCCCGCAAACGGGGAGAGAAGATTAACCCATCAGCAGTACAAAGTCCACACGGTGACAGGTGACAGTAACTACCCCTCCCATGGGGTTGGTGTGAGGAAGCCTGAGCTCCCACCGGGCTCTGGCTTGTCCTGTCTCTGTGACTCGGGCAGCGCACAGGTATCTCTAGGCCTCTGCCTCCTCGTCAACAGAATGAGGTGGTGGTAAACCTTCTTTCCGGGATGCCACAAGGAGCAAATGGGATGATGGACATGAGAGTGACCTGTGAACTGCACCACGAAGCCCTGGATGCTTTGTTAGGATGAGCATGGGTGGCAGTAAGCAAGGGCATTGTGCCCACGTGTGAACGCTTCCCATCAACCCTGATAAAAATTCTCACAGGCTCTTGAGAAAGCAGGTGGGGCCAATCCTGCCTGTCACATTCGTCGGGTGAGAGAAGAGGGCACTATTGACTTGTGAACTTTGCACCCAGATCACTTTATCGTAATTCTTTCATTCTCATGTAGTTTGATCAATTTTTGGATATTATTCAGGTTTCCTTCCATAAAATCATTAGGACATAAAAATACACTGCACTATTTAAAAAGAGAATCTACTGTTGATACTTGAAAAGAAAAATCCTGCAGACTTTGCCAGCATTTGGGGACAGGCAGAGGGCTAGATGACGGAAGGTGGGCACTTCGCGAAGTCATCAAGAACAGCGGTGGGGTCAGGCCATCTTTCCGGGGCCCTCACTGTTCCAGGGGCTACCAGTTCCAAGAGGGGAGGGAGACAGACGACCAGATGACCAGATAAAGTGAGGAGCATGAACTTTAGTGGAGGGGTCATGGAGGCTCCACAGAGGAGGTGCCCTGCATGGGGAGGCAGTTCCAGGAGGAGGGACCCGGTTGCCACCAAGTATTTCCTGATGTGAGCTGCTGGGGTCATGAAAGAGCCTCCGGCCTAAGCAAAGACAGTGAGGCCCCAACCCCACAACGGTCAGAGCTGATACCTGACCACTTGGGACCCTTCACAAAAATGGCAACTTCATACGGCTCAACTAATACTGATTCCGGAAAAACTACAACCCCTTAAATTCTAATCCTTAGGCCCATATAATTTACCCCCATATAACGCAACGTGGTGCCGGGGCTCTCATCCCTAGAGCCCCCTGGAATCCCTGGAGCACCTGCACCTGGACCACACCAATTACACTGGGTGTCTGGAAGTGGGCCTGGGAAGGACTGCTTGCAGGCCGGCTAGCCTCTTGGTGTCTGTGATTTTCCGGGACGCCAGCTCCTGGTCCACCCATATCGAGCAGTGGCTGAGAAGCAGCGCGGGAGAGTGGCGGGGGTCAGGGGTTCAGCGGGGAGTCCTGACTCCTCTCCATGCCTCCTGGAGCCAGCTGCTTAGTCTGGGATCCTCCTTTGGAAACGGGGACAGAGGCACCGACCGACCCCGGAGGCCATCGTGAGCACCAGTGGAGATACGCAGGTGAAGCGCCAGCACAAAGCCCCTTCCCTTAGAGTGAATGAGTGCAAGCGGTGGGACGTGGGTCGCTGGGTGGACCCACAGGCGTGTACAACCTTCCCTACATTCGTCCTGCTGGAAGAAAACATCTCCGCCATCACTTCGGTTTCCAGCTTAGGGAAAACTGAGCGCCCCTTCTCCTTTTGTCTCCCACTCCATCCCTGCACAAACAGCCTTACACCTTCTTCCCTAGACGTATCACCGCCAGGACTCTAACCTGGCTCGTTAGGCACCCAGGAAGCTCAGCCCCACGCCCCGCGGCCTTGGCCCTCGGGTGGGGCTCTGCTTGTCGTACCTCACCACCTCGCCACAGCTCCTGCGCCCCCGCACTTGCTCACAGGGTTTGGAGAAGCCAGGGCAGGACTTGCCCACAGCCCGCCGCGTGGAGGGTCCCTCGTGCAGAGGGGCCGGGGGAGGGCAGGCCGCCACCTCCCTCCTGACCCTCGGGATCCTCCGGCATTGCTTCACCTTGCAGGGCCCTGGCCCTGGGTCCACAGTCGAGTGCGGGCCCTACTGAGGGCTTGAATTGGGAGGCTGGTTTTATTGAGGGGGCACACATTGGCAGGGTTAAGCCCCCTCACCCCCACGGGGAATCGCGCAAGATTTCAGCATTTTTAATGCTCCAAGAGACCGCCCAAGAGACGGCATAGTGGGTCGCACTGTGCACTGGTGGGGAAACTGAGGCTCGGACGAGCAAGGCGGGCGCCCAAGGTCACGCGGCCTCCGGGGCGGCGCGGGGCGCAAGTTTCAGAGTTGGGGCG